AATACCACTTCCACAACTGATTCACCACAAAAACAATACATAATAAGTTATGAATCAGTCATCACAAAAATATAGTTTCGTTTCCTAAGTTAAAAATTAGTCATTCAAACACAATTGACGTCTCTAGAGCTTGATCTTCTTAGCCTTCAATTTACCAACTTTTTTTTTCCTTTTCTGCCAACAGTTGTCTTGATGCACTACTACTTTGCCTTTCCAAGTAACTTTCCTTGGTGAATATGGCAAGTTTGTAGGCACATTGGCACCAGATTCATCACCTTTGAATGCAATCTTCCTTGTACCAGTTGGCATTTGCCTCAGCTTTTTCTTTTGAAGCCTAGTCTTAGCTTCAGATATCACCTTATGTCTCAAAACTGGATGTTCATCTTCATCTTCAGATATTGCATCTCCGTCTTCATAGTCATAGTTATCTCTGGACCTTCATGCACTTCATAACCAAAGTCACCATTAAAATCAACTTCACACCCTTGTGCAATTTGTCTGAAATTACCCAATAACTCCATAGCATATGGACTGAATTCATCTCTCCAAGTCCTACATTCATCTTCACGATCTTTTAACATTTTCATTACCTTTCAAACAAGGGAAAACCAATAATCAAACACTATGATAAGCATACATAAAATCAGTTAGTTACATAAACCACTAAAAATAGTAATTTACCTTGACTCTAATATCTTCTAACATCTTGATTATTGGTTTGTGTTGCCTCTAGAATTCATTTGTTGAATGATTTTGTGAAGTTGTTGTCAACCATCTGATTCTTGCATGTTGTGTCAAAATAAGCCCTACATCAGTTTTGTGGAGGGTACCAAATTAGGTCTTTAGCAGCTTGTTCAGAAATAGTCCTAGGGTCCTCAATTGATCCTTGAACTCTTCATCATAAGAGCTCCAAGCGCACCACCACAACAACTTTTTCATTTCTACACCCCTCCAGTTCTTGCTCCAGTTAGCTTCTATGTGCCTAACACACCATCTGTGATGTGGTTTAGGAACCACAGTTGCAACAGCGTCAATTAAACCTTGCAACAATCAAAACAAACAAAGAAGGCTTTTAGTAGTTAAAGTAAACTAACAGTGAAAAACCTAACTGTGGTTTGTTAATGATATTACCTTTTGCATGTCTGAAATGAATGTCACTCCTTCACCATCTCCCAACTCTAAGGAAGATCTCAACAGCCCCAGAAACCACTTCCAAGTTCTACCTATTTCTCTATCAACCACTGCCCAAGCAAGTGGATAAAAGTGTTTGGCAGAATCTTGTGCCATAGCTACCAGTAAATTTCCTTTGTATTTTCCTTTAGAAATGTGCCATCCAGACCTATTAGAGGCCTCAACCCTGCTTTCCATCCACTTTTCAAAGCTTGGAAGCATATATACATTCTAAGAAATCTCCTTTTTCCCTCTTTCAAAGCATCTTTTGATATGTTTATTACCACATCTGTACCAGGGTTACTATCCCTCAACTCTTGAGCATAGGCCTCTAACCTATTATAGTCATCAATGTAGCCACCCTCCAACTTCTCTAAGACCATTCTCTTAACCCTCATCAAATGAATTACAATCAGTTCCAACATCTACTCCTACCGGCAAATTATAAGGTTCATCATGGTGAGTGATGCTAGGAGCTGGCACATGTAATTCACCCTCATCTACAATAAATATTTGAATCTCATTGAATCGGTTTGACAGTAAAGACTGTAGTATTCTAATGCCTGCATCACCCTCAATTAAAAAGCACCTACCAGCAGGGCATGTTACTAGTAATTGTTTCATCTCACTAAAACCTAACTTCTCAGTATATTCAGAACAAATATCTATATAAGACAACAAATCCACATCATAACCTATCAATACATGCTTCCTTCTTTTAAGATACACCGCTTGAGGTTCCAACACCCACTTACCCCCATGATTAAAGACCAAATCAACCTTCTCAATCATTCTTCAAAGAAAACAAATGCAAGCCATAAAGGAAACAAGAAAAAGGACCCATCAGTAATAAACAGACAGAAAAGTTAAAGAGGGCTTCTACCAATAAAGGGACAGGGAGTTAAAGAGGGCACCTACCAATAAAGGGACAGAGATCAAATACGGCCAAAACAAAGTAAACAAAAGCAAAAACAGTGAATAAACAACTGAAATCAACAAACAAGTATGAATAAAGAAATCAGGCATCAACAATAATTGAACCCCTAAGTCCAGACCAACACAAAAAGGGAAGGGACCACATGCAATTGAAAATTTAGTAAACAAAGATAAAAGCTTCGAATAAACAACCAAAATCGACAAAAAAAGACAACCCCATACGAATAAATAAACTAGATGTTACCAAATTAAAACTCTAAGTTCAGACGGCATTAATCTAGCGGGACCACATGCAACAAAAAAATACTACATAAAGACATCTACTAACATTGAAGACACAACTGAAACATCACAGAATATCAAAAGCAACATGATTTGTTTATTTCAAAAAACCCTAAGCAACACAAGATCAGCAATAAAGTCTTACTTGAATGGAGAGAAGATCTTAACTTTAAAGAGCAACTTGAATCCGTCAACTTCAGTAAAAAATTGTAGCAGAAAATCCCAAGAAGTCAAGCTCCAAAATCGCTGTCCATTTCGCCCTTTTTGCTTAGAGTAGATGAAATGGGTGAAAAATGCCCTAACATCAGGTGTTTTGGGGAGGGGGGGGGGGGTAGGGGGGGTAAAACAATGTTTGCTGGATCGGGTCGGTATATTTGGGTTATGGGTGGGGTAAAATACGATTTGGGGTATGCCTTAATTAATAGCCAATCAGAAATAGCCACGTGGAATTAATAAAATGTTAAAATAAATCATAATTCACCCGTTACAATGAAGGGCACAAATATACCAAATTTTTAACTGTAGAGTCATTCTTAGAAAAATAGATTAACAAGGGGCATTTTTAGACTAGAGTTGATACGTTAGGGGCAGTTTTGGACCTTTTCCGTATTTTTAATAACAGTTGCACTCACTTCTCTTCTTCAAATAATGGTTTTGGAATTGATTTAAAAAAATTATAATTTTCCAACCATATACATACCGCAGAATTTTGCTATTTGTTATGTATTATATGCGGCTGCTATGTACATATATATTCAAATATATTTTGTAATCGTCTAGTTAGTATTCGATCGACTAACTTAAGAGTGCAAAATGGGTAGGCATTTGATTAAAGCAAAGTTGAATTCGACAATGCGCAATCTCCAAGGAACTTCAACTTCTATCACTAATACTTGCAAAGTCTCCCTATATTTTGTGGAATGAGTTCATTAAAGCTGGGATAGTGTAAATACGTTTGAAATTTGGACAAGCTGCTTAATTTAGATTCTTCAATTCACTATAATCTATTTACTAACTGCTGTATTATTTTAATATTTTCTTCTCTTATTTCTTTGTTTCAATTAAGAAATCCGGTAAATACTAACTATTTTAAAAATAGTGGATCCAAAATGAAGAATAAGTGACTCAACTAAAATGATTTGGTAGATTTTGGGTCACCTGACGGACTGCGGGGTAATTTTTAAGAGTTTGCTGATGGTAAGGATAAATTTGGCCGGATAGTATAACGACAGGAGTAATTTTGGCCGAATTATATAATATAGGTAAGATGTAGACAATAATAAAAAAATAGAGGAATAAATTTGGACCTTTCCCAATATTTAATAATTTATGCTCGTTAAATTTGACACTGTTAAAAAAGAATTAACCTTAAACATAGGAAAGTACTATCAAATTCTAAAAAATACAGCATACTAGATACCAAAAAGATACTAAAAATAATTTAAAATATCCAAAAATACCAAAAAATTCATCAATTCCTCCTAGTTTTTGTCATTTTCATCGTTGTCACTAAAATAAAGTAGTAACCATAATATGAATAAACAAATAAGAAGTAAACGCCAAGCTATGTGATAAACAATGCAACTTAGATAGTTAATATATGTAACGACCTTATATTTTTCAATATGCACACGACGTTTAAGCCAAATAATATTAATTTATCATGATTAAGTCATTTGATATTGGTATAATATATATTAATTTACTATAATTAAGTGGTAAAACTCTAAATACTTACACCTATTGGTTTGGCGTAAGCACGTAATGCAAGTATTTTTGCCACTCCAATATCATAACAATCAAAAGGGTTCTTTCATGTTCACTATTTTTCTTTTTCCTGTAATACCAGATAAGCTTGTTTGACGAAGCCGGATAAAGATTATGATGTTTGATTATTTCTATAAAATATTTAGAGTAGTTACCAGAAGACAAAAAAAAAATTAAATCAATTAGTTATTGCTAAACTTTGTTACTATTTAAATATTCTTGGAGGCAACAGATCTAACCACCGATTGAAAGATTTTTGATAAATTAATGTCTTTTGAAATCTTAGTTCCATGCCAATAATTAAATGGTGGAAATTAAGAAAGAACAACGTTGTACCAAGTTCAGTACTAGGAATCAAAGAAATCCTATAACCTTAATTGTATTCGAATAAAAACATGTGAAAATATCATTAAATTAGACTATTAGAGCTAAACCAACATTAGGGAACACTAATCCACATGTAATCACATGCATTCGCCACCTCTCTTCGTCCATTACTAACCACATTTCGCACCCACAAAAACAAACATTAATATTGATTCCAGCACCTCCACTTGACAACCATACTATATGAATATTCAATTGTACTTCTTTATTTATGTTTTCACTAAGTCTTCAATTGTTCATTAATCTACATAATATAGACCCTAAATTTTCGTTTCTTAATTAAATAATTTTTTGTGGACAAAATAAAATATTATGATGATGGAAGCACCTGATGTGAGCATGATGTGCTATTCTGCAATTTCATTTCTACAGTTGACTACTATAAGTATTAACCAGTAGCAGCTGATAATAAACATTGAGGTTCATACTTGTACAAAATTTTCTTCATTTTCTCTACAATGGCTAGCTTTTCTTTCTTCTTTATCACAATCTTGATCTTGGCTTTGCCCATTATTGAAGGGCGTATTCTGAAACTTGAAGGTTCAGAAATTAATACTCAGATGGAGTTGAACACTTGAAGAATCAATCAGATTATCCAATTCTAGGCAGCTCAAAGGCACTTATAACTTCAGATGATCAATGTAAACATATATATGGTTTCTTTCCATGTGCAGAAAATATTGGAGGGTACTTATTCATGATTGTCACATTTCAGTACTTGCTAATTATTGGTGAGAAAGTACTGTCCAAAGGAAGCAACAGGCTCTTTAGTATTCTTGACACTGGAATTTTTTGTGCGAGTATCTTTCCAACCCTTATAACCTGGCCAAGAATTGTTATGGCGTTTGGTAATTATCTATTCCTTAATTGCCTTTGTCATTACTCCAAGAAAATGTCCAAGTACTATTTATTTATATGATCATAAACATTTATTCATAGGATCAATGCAATTTAATCGATTATAGCAGGTTATTATCCTATTTCGATCAAGTTTGCTCTGACGAGTTATCTATTGTTATAAGTTAACTCAAATATCCATACATTGTCAGTGCAGAGTACTTGAACTGTTATACATATAAATAGCATGTTTGATCCACGCCGTCTAGCAATTGTGAATTAGTCCCTCTCTCATTAGTGGCGGAGCAAGAAATATCACTAATGATGTTCAAAATTATAAAATCTATGTAGCAAAAGTAATTTTTGACCTTATATACGTAGTATAATTTTTGGACAAAGGGTGTTCAACCAACTAACCTGGTTGCAGCTCCGCCCCTGCTCCTCATCCCTTTAAGCATTGAAACAAAATGCCTACAATCTCTAAATTCAGCAGGGGATTACCAATTCTACCTTTTTGGACATTATACACTAACTAGCTAACATTTGGTTTTTCAGTATCTGGACTTTTAATCAGTAGAGAACAAGCTCAAGTATCAGTATCTTCTGCACTTGGTTCGAATGTTGGTTCCAGTGTCTTGAATCTTACTGTGCTCTGGGGCATATGTGTCATACTTGGGAGACGAAACATCTCAGGAAATTCAAATACACAAAGTGCAGAAACCTCCTCTTCTACTTTGAAATTGAAAGACTTAAAGAGTATGTTAATTTCCTTTTCATACTTTGAAGTTTGGAAAAAGATATAACTAAGCATCATAAGAATGAGATCTTTCTTTTCCTACTTACAGGTACTGGAATCATAACAAATGATCTAACTGGTTATATAGCAGGTGTCATGTTTCTCTCCCTTGCACCATTCATAATAATGCTATTCGTCGATATCATCAGTTCATCAGTAGGAAAGCGCATCACCATTCTTGTTGCTCTCATAGTATCAGTCACATTGTTGCTGTCATATTTCGCATATCAGGTTATCATCAACAACCTAATTTATAGTTCATTATCCAATTGGTAATCCTGATCACTGTCAAATTAAGTCACTCTTTTGTGCACTTCAGGTTATAATACCATGTTTGTTTATATTTCTGATATATGTAGATGTGGAATCCATTGATTCAAGAAAAGTGTTTAGAATACATAAAACACGAAAACCTGGTGAAGTATTTGTGGAGCATATCCAAAGGCAGGCAAGAGGAAATCTCTTTAAAGGTGAACGTCCTGGCATTAACGTGCTCAAAGGGTAACATTTTTTGACACTGTGTAGAAGTTAAACTCTTATGAAAAGTCTTGTTCCCTCAGCTATTTACGAAGACTTACAGTTAATACTACAATTCAGTTAAAGTAGCAGTATTTTGATCTATTTAAGTCAAGAAAATTTCATTTTGCAGATTATTTACCAAAACCAACAAAGATAGGAGCAACTCCATAACACTCACTGAACTAGAAGAACTGGTAAACCAGCTTGAATCGGGGAAGGTTAAAGTGGACAGTAACTTTGCCCTGTCGACACTGTCAAGTATATTCGACAAAAATGGAGATGAAAGGATAAATGAGGAAGAGTTCATTGAGGGATGCAAGAAGTTGATACAGGAATCCAATGGCGATTCCACCTCCATCAGGAAACATTTCGATGAGGCAAAAAATTCATTTTATTTTGCTCCCTTTCACTAATATAGACACTGGGGGCTATTTATGTAACAAAAAAGATCATCACTTTTAGTTAGTCAAAATAAAAGCATGTTGATAGTCAGTGAAATGAAAAATTTAATATTTGCAACTCCATATGCAGGTAGTTCAGGCATACACTGAGGGACAAAGAAAAGAAATAGTTAAGATTCAGGAGTTCATGCCAAGAGTCTCACGCAAATACAGAACCAGGCAATTGAATCTGAAGGCCTTTTAAAAGATGACGGTAGCCCCAACATAGAAGCTATTAAAAGGTAATGTTCTTTCAAGTTTAGAGGAGAATCTACAGGGTTAGGAATAAGTTGAAATTGAACCTATCATTTTTGACATGCACTATCTATATCTATATCTATACATGAAAAAATCTGAATAGTTGTATAAATATTAAGTTTTGAATCAACATTTTCAAAGAACTCAGAATCTTGATCCGTACATCTCGGATAAAGTCTGTCCCAAAAGAGAAATTTCACAAGTTCCTAAGGATCAATGTCTCATTAATCCTTATCATCTGATTGTGTTACAGGCTCTTCCATAAGTTAGATGATGATAAAAACAGTTACTTAACACCATCAGAACTGGAGAAGCTAACGGAAAATGTCAAAATCAGAGAGGCACATCTAGATCATCAAGGCTCTATCAAAGAAATCATTAAGGATTTCGATCAAAATAAAGATAACAAGATCGACGAAAATGGGTTTCTCGATGGTGTGAAATATTGGCTTCGTAATGCCAAGAGGACAACCGAGCAACATCATGATAGAGTAAAATATATTGCTTGTCTTGTGTCTGATGTATATATGTACTAGAAATTTTGACAGCTAGAGTTTGTTTTGGAATTTATTTTTTTTGCAGATGATATGGGGAGAAGTCGACAAGTTCTTGGATGAGGCAAAAAGAGAAAAACATAAACGTTTCGACTACTCTTTGGTGTTGAAAGGAGCATTCTGCAAGTCTGTGCTGCAAATGATTTTGGGCATTGCTATATTAACATTGTGTGCTGATCCACTCATGGATAATATTATACGACTAGCAAATGCAATTGGAGCGCCTTCTTTCTTCCTATCATTTGTCATAGTACCTCTGCCTATCAATGCAAGAACTGCAATAACAGCAATAACTTTATTATCTTCAACAAGCCAGCAGAGTTCCACAACTTCTTCTTTGACATTTTCCGAGGTCTACAACTCTTTTCCTCTATCTCAAATTCTCCAACATAATTACTACCTTCAGTAGATTCTTTTCTCTTTATTTTCTAATGAAACCTCCAGCAAAGTACTTACTTCTATTGTAATTTTGTGTTGACAACTCTAATATTCTTTAATTTGTTTTACAAGCAGATCTATGTCCGAGTTATCTTGAACAACATTATGGGGATGTCAACAGTGTTATTTGTGTTGTATGCAAAGGACTTAACATGGGAGTATTCAGTTGAAGTGTTGACATCTATGGTGGTTTGTGCTGTAACTGGCCTTTTTGCATTTATCCGCACCACCTATCCGCTCTGGACTTGTATCATAGCTTTCTTGCTTTATCCAGCCTCACTTGTACTACTATATATCTTCCATTAGTTGCATCTTGTATTAAATATTTTAGTCTCAAAGTTATTCAACTCATGAAAGTGTTGATAGCTACATATGTATGGTGGTCTGAGTTGTAGAAGGCCCATTTGCATCATCCCCACCACCTATCCAATCTCACTTGTACTGCTTTACATTCTCCATTCTTCAATAATAACTGCTTGATGCTGTAATTTAGATCCACTAATCTCAAATACTTTTATACCATTTTTGTGCTTATAAATTTTTAAGTTCTTGGTCTTTCAGATTTTGTCCGCACTAACTAATTAAGCATAGCAATTAGTGAGCAAAGGAAACCAGGCCATAGGGCAACAAACTAGAGAAAATAATAGGGAGCCATGATCATGATCACGATCACCCCTTGTTATTAAAATAGACTAATAGATAATTTGATTATTCTTAAATGTAGACTAGGCATTGGTGATATTTTATCAGCTCATTCATAGTAAAATGAAGTGCCAAATATAGTTCGGGAACATACTGTGCTAGTAGTTATATCGCCTCTTGACACCAAGGCTCCAACTATCAACAGCTTCATAAATTGCTTTGTCTTGTGAAAATACCTGTAGATGTGGTGCTGCTATAGGTCAGAGTTCTGAGTAAAGGTTGATTACAAACTAAACAAATAAGAACCTGGAATAAGCATAATCTCAAACAGTACTACAGAGCATATCGATATCAGCCTTTGCTCTAACTAGCAAAGTAAGAATTACCAGTGGCATACATTTTCCGGAGGCAATCCTCTGAGTCATCTATTTGGAACTGTCTGCATCTCATCAATAGAAGAATTGTACTCTCCACATTACTGGCAGAAGATGAGGCCATCAGTTGGACAAGGGTTGGCATTGCTGCAGACACGCAATTGGAAAATCTCAAAAAATTCCCAACATCAGGCAAAGAACCATTCCTTCGTTATCCCATCAACAACAGCATAATGCTTTGAAAAATAACTGACCTTTGCTAAATTCTTCAATTTGAGAAGGGGAGAGTAGAGAGCGAAGTGGGATTTTGAACTGAGAGGCCATTGCCATAGGAGACAGAATGTTTTGGGGGAATATGAAATTTGGAGCCTTTTTTTAGAGAGGTCGGAGTTTTCTGCGTGCGATTATTTGCATCATAAATGGGAGAGCAATTGGAGCAACTTATAAAACGCATTCCTCAATTGCAACTTATAAAACGCATTCGCTAATTGTGACTTATAAAAGACGTATAATACGAATTCTGTGATTCCATAGAAAACGCAATTGCCTAATCGCGACTTATAAATCGCATTGAAGAGCAGCCTAGCACGCATTAGCGCGGGGTCCGCGGAAGGGCCAGACCACAAGAGTGTGTTTTAGGTAGTCTTACCATGCATTTCTGCAAGAGGCTGTGAATATGGAGTAGGTGTAGATTTGAGCCAAGTAAGAAGTACAATTCAACTACGGAAAATATATGGTGAGATATACTCAGAAATTGGTGCTTGTAAATACCAATAAATAGCTTGATGTATCATATGGGAGGGATATGAGAACCAAGAATTGAATCAAAAAGGTAGGGACCCTCAGTGCTAATTTCTGAAAAAATATTGACTTGTTAAGATCAGTAACTCATTGTCATCTTCGAACACTTCTTTGCTGTCCACTTTCTTCTGTTGACACCACTACAGAACAAGAAAAAAATCTGAAATTCCAACAAGCGTCAAGACAAAACATCTCAAATGGTGATTCCTTATATTATTAAGGCACCATCTCACTGTCGAAATCTGATATTAGCTTGGCCGGTACACCTTCATTACGATCAAACAATGAGCATAGGGGATGATCAACATGAAACAAGATTTCCACTTCACCTCAAATTAAAGAACAAGGAGCCCAAAACACTTTCTGACAGATTAATAAGCTTGAAAGGAAGTCAATAAACAACTGCATTCTTGCTTCTTTGCTTGTTATCCTCAGGAAGTGAGAGGGAGCTATTACAGAAACCAAGAATCCACCAAAGCTAGACAAAGGAATGCATTGAGACCTGAGATTTTTACAAAGTGATCCTTAAAATACACCCGGAACATGTCTCTCCCTAAAGAGCTCAAATTGATGAGGTTCCGATATTATCATGAGTTCCCAAGATGTAGCTTTAACATGGGATCCTAATTGCAGTGCAATCTTACAGATTCTCATACTAGAGCAACAAAATCTGCATGAATATCATAAGAATGGGAAACATTACCTTCTTTAGATTCCGGATGAACTTTATAGTGTTAATCTGACCACGTATATAACACATGAATGCAAAGGAAACAAAAATACTTGACACTGGTAAGATCAACCGGTCATCTCTGACTCATGAATCCCAACCAAAGTGTTGGGTATATGAATCATATGTAATCATTCTGCTCTACTGGAATCCATATCATTTCAATACTACTTCTCTTATAAATAATTTGACCTTAAGTTAACTAAAAAACTAGAGAATCACTTCTTGCATTTAACCCTACAATGGAAAAAACTCCTCACAAGTACCGAACCTACATACTTGAGTTCAGTTCCAAGAGAAACGAATCCAGTAACCAGCTTAACCAATCCAACAAGGATAAAAGGAGAGATTTACCATTTACCAACTTCATTACAAAGTCAGGTAAGATAAAACAGACAAGCCATGATAACTATCAACTAGTACTACATACATTCTCCTTTAAGCATTCTAATGACATAAATGAAAGAGAGAATTAAGTAGGGAGAATTTTCTTATTGAGTCTATACAGGCCACTCTGGTAGAATCACCAGATTTAGTCATAAATACCAACTTAAAATCATTATGACCACTATAAACTTGAGAGCCCTCTTAGCACAGAGTACAACCCGAAAAACACAGGCCTAGCCAGATCAGTTACAAGGCTGCATTATTATCCTCAGGACAAATGCTTCTAATAAGTATCAGAGACCGCTCTTTCACTAATTCAGAAAACAAGTAACACGTCAAGCTTATTGCAGCTGCATTCTAATCACAGATAATGTTTAGCATGATGAGAAGTGCAGTAAATGTATTCATGGAAAATGTTTTCCTCAAGGAGAATGTTTTCTCACAAAATGGAGAAAATGACTCGCGTCACTCATAGGTGGAAGTCATTTTCCCTCTACAAATATCTCAAAATCTTATTCAATCTCACTTGTATCAATCAAAAGTTAGACATTGTTGTCATCCTTTAATACACAAAAATATCACGAAAGTATAATCCTCATACCGTATCCTACACCTTCACAATTACCAGACGCCACCTGTTTTCATACCCAACCAAACACTCGAAAATCACCCAAAAAATGATTTCACAAAGGGAAAACATTTTCCTCCATATCAGAAGCACAAGAATCTCAAATAGTAATCTTATCATAGCAGTTCAATGTATAGAAATAATAGCACAGCAGAATTATGGCTGCATTTTACGTACAAGATGCAGGTATCGGTGCGGTAAAAGAGTTAACTGAGAGGAAATACACTATAGTGTTCTTATCATATCCAAAGTTATCTACTTTAGCGCAGAAATCGGCAAGAAATGAATCATTTGGCCGAACAGCAATATTCACAGATTAAGAGCTAAGCGGAAGCTGCAAAGAGCTGAACACATTGGTATCTGAAGCTTAAGCCCTATCAAGCAACTGTGACCTCAGATTATTAGGTTCCTCTGGAAACCACATTCATCAAGCAAGAACAGTGAAGAACAATTAATTGAAACTAGTGTAAATGATATTTATCCAGATATATACAAAATCTGTGAGAACCAAGCAACAATTCACAAAATGAAAACAAAAAGAACAATAAAAGGGAAACACTATATATCCACAAATTGATAAGAACAAACCACAACATGATGGAGTATACAAAAGTTATTCCACTCAACCAACATGAAAAGGACCAATATCGCCACTTCGAATAGAGCCAGCAACTTCATTTGCAATAGTCAAGCAAGAGACTACCCAACCACTCAATGCCACCCACACCATCTTAGCCACCCACAGTGTCATACTCCATGGAACCGCCATCCTCAACCTCCTCTCAATGCAAACTCAGACGACTTAAATACGCTACGAGATATTGCAAGAGGCCTTGCTGCCACGAACCACTGATATCCGGCCCTTTATTGCTAAATGTAAACCCAAAAAAGCATTCACTTTTCTACACCAAATCCATTAAACCAAAAAAATCATTCACTTGTCTACACCAAATCCTTTTCAAGATCAACCCTAGTCCTCAGTTTATGCTATAAAATTGATCAGATTAGGAGAAACAAATTACCCCTTGAATTTCAATAAAGTTGACCTTTTGTTGAAATCTGTCCCAAAAAGATCCAAGATTTGTTCTTGAGAAAGACCAACCGCTTGAACCCCACCGAACTTTTGAATTGATATTCTGCTTAACTGCTGCAAAAAAGCTACTAATAAATTCACACACATATATTTTATAGGACAAAAGTAAATGTGTGAAAGTACTTAATTTCAAATAAAGGATATTATTTAATACTTACCATTTTAGGAATGATTTGTACAAGAACCTGCAATAAATAGTGGTAGAAGTACAGAAATGGTCTGGATTTGCTGACTAATATGGAAGATAATGCTGTCGGCAAAGGATAGAAGCCACCGAGGGAGTCCGGAAGCTAAACGTTGCTTTTTGACTCAAAATATATAACAACAGGCCAGAAAATCCCATTAGTGGGGGGTGTTGGGAGCGTGGTGTGCATGCAATCTTTATCCCTACCGCGAAGGAGTAGAGAGGCTGTTTTTGAAAGACTCTCGTCTCAAGAAAACAAAAAGACAGAAGTGGGATAATATTAATATCACCACATAAATCATAAGGAAAAATAAGAATAACATTAAATTCAGAAGAAAGATGTAAAGCAAAAGCGATAGGTAGTAAATAGGTCATGCATTAAAAAGCGTAATAGGTAGGAAAAAAAACTTAGTGACCAAAATATATAAAACATTCTTTTGAATCACGTTTTACCTTAAAGCGCGTTTCAAAATTGCATTTTATATAAAACGTATTTTCAAACAACGTTTTACCTGTTTTGTGGGCCACCAATAACTCTTCTACGCTTAACTGACATAACAATATGGGTAAAACGCCCTTTTAAAGAGCGTTTTACTTCCAAAAATTTGACCCCCCCTCAGATTGGACATTGCCTTATTTAAAGGCGTTAAGGGTTTTGCAAAAATTTATTCAAAAATATTCTCAACTCCTGATAAATTTTTCTTCTTGTTAAATTCTCAAGCTTTTTTTCATAATATCTGAAAAGCGAAAAGTAAGGGTTTCATTATATTTGGGGGGGAGGAGGGGGGGGATGTGAGGTTGTGGTGGCGAATAACTTAGTGAGCTATAGTTTATCTCCACAGAATCATGTTAAGTTGCCACTTACAATGGATTACGATAGATTGGTATCGTTGTTATGTAATAAAAATGAGGTTGAGCAAACGTTCGGTGAATCTTAAAATAATCGAAAGATATCCGTATTCTGTGACTCCACAAGGGGTTGCTTGTTACGCTGTGTTTAACATCGAGGATGATGAAACTCTGAGAGATTTTTTGGGGACTCCGAATGAATACTGGAACTTATTTTGATAAAAATGTTGGAAATGTACGTGAAGGTTGAAGACGTTCGCAATAATGAGGTTGCGCAAAGCAGGGATAACCCTCAATCATCGGGTGGTTATTCTGGAGCAGTTTTAGCCGAACAGGTTCCAGCTGAAATAGTTTGGCCAGATCTAAACTTATCTCCACGGGCAAATGAGGAGCGAGGAAATAATTTCTTTCCTACTTTACATAATCCACAAGATGAGTGATAAACTTCAATTTTCCTTTGTGTTACGATATTTATTTTTGTTGTATTGAATTTGTATTAACACTCACATATTTCACAGGGTGTACCGTCCAAATATGAATTTTACAAGTTATGAACCCACACCCAGTTGGAATATGCGTAGTTTTGGTGTGTTGGATCACGGTGGTCCTTCCGGGAGTCATCACCAACAAGATAATGTCCACCATGGAATGTCAACACATTACAACTTGTAAGTGAAGTGACATAGCTATATGTAATGTATTTATCAATTTGAGTAGCTTATTATTTTGTTGTTTGTGCAGTGAAAATGAGCAACTTGATGGTCCTGTTCTCACTCAATTGCCCGTAGACGACGTATTTACTCGGGATTTGGTAGATGCGCAGAGTCAGAAAGATAATAGTGATTATGACAACAATGCAGATGAATCTGGAGATGACATACCCTTCCTTGACGAGGGTGATGAGGAGGAGGAAGAGAATGCCGAACTTGATTTTACGAAGGAGCATGCGTCACCTCCCGTTACACCAAGAGTGTACGAGTCCCACGTGCCGTTTCATTCAAGGCATATTGCCTACCTTGATCAGTTGCCAAGTATGCCGGATGTGGATGCCCTCACAAGGAATTTTGACGAAATTCGGACAGCAATGTGGGATGAGTCAAGACCAACGGTGCTGGCAAAGGGCATGCTTTTTCCTGATAAAGCGCGCCTAAGCAGGGCAGCGAAAATGTACAGCGTAAAAGAGTGCAGTGAGATGATTGTATGTGAGTCAAGTCCGGATGTGTACAAGGTTGCTTGCCGTAGATGGTTTACGGGTTGTCATTGGATGCTGCGTGCGAGCAAGAAGAAAACAGGGTTGTGGAAAGTGGGTAAATATATTGGCACCCACAATTTGAAATGGATACATTCAATGGAAATCCCTTCAACTTGGATGTTGACTTGATCTCTCTTCAACTGATTCCACACATTGAAGCGTACATAAGGTACAAGATCAAAAAGTGTATTACATCCATCCACCAGAAATATGGATGTACTATTACTAAAGGAAAGGCATATCTCAGGCGCAAACGTGCATTTGAAATTATTTATGGTGACTGAGATAAGTCATTTGCATCTCTACCCAGGTACATGGCCGCATTGAAACACTTTAACCCCGGGACTGTTGGTGAATGGAAGCTTGAGCAGATTGCAGTAATACCGGAATATATATTCAGATACGTGTTCTGGGCATTTAAACCATCAATTGATGGTTTTGTGCATTGACGTCCGGTAATTTCCATAGACGGTACTCATGTCTATGAAAAGTATGATATTAAGTTGTTGATCACCGTTGCGTAGATGCCAATGGACAAATATTTCCACTAGCTTTTGCCATCTGTGCCAGTGAAAGCCAAGAGACGTGGACGCTATTTTTGAACCACTTGAAGCAGCACGTTGTCAAATAATATTCAGGTATTTGTCTAACATCTGATCGGCATGGTGATATATTAAGTTCTGTAGAGCATTTGCCTGAATGGCAAGAACCCTATGCATACCACCGTTACTCTGTGAGGCACCTGAAGGCCAATTTCCAGAACAAATATCCTAACAAGGACTTGCATGGCTTAATGTGGATGGCTACAACTGATCACCAGAAGTGCATATTCAGGAGGCGCATGGAATCGATCCGGCAGTTAGACGAAAGAGCCTATCATTGGTTGATGCGACATGAGCTTCACAAGTGGCCATTGCATGCGGATGGTGGCAGACGATGGGGAACCCTAACTACAAATGTGTCGGAGTCTTTCAACGGGTTATTGAAGTCTGCACGTGGATTGCCTGTCATTGCTATGGTGCGGATGTCATTCAAACAGATGGAAGAGAGGTTTGTTGAAAGGCATAGAGGTGTATCAGAATTGATGGATAGGGGTGTTGAATTTATACCAATACCAATGAAAAATTTGAGAAATACAGAAGGCGAGCATATTGACATTCATTTTTACAGTATTGCAACGAGTGAAATATTTTTGAAGTTCGCACCGCTAACCAACAACACCGGGGGAATAATATACACACCGTAAATGAAGCCAGCAGGTTGTGTTCTTGTGCGAAATGGTCCATCTACCACATACCGTGCTCACATGCCATGAAGTGCTTTCAACATACAGGTTTAGGGCCAACCAACTATTTTGATAGGCAATACGGTGTTGCTGCATACTTAAACACATATAGTGGGCAGTTGCAGCCAGTGGGTGCTGAGCATTATTGCCGCCGGAACCATTTAAAATGGTGTGGAATAAGGACTATTTGCGTAAGCTACAAGTGCAAAAAATAATGCGTATATAGAACCAAATGGATGTTGGTGATACCGTTTATGCGCGTAAATGTGACATATGCTCGCAAATAGGACAGGACCGTCGTAAATGTCCTTCAGATGGTTTGGGTGGCGGTGGTAATCCAACTCTCGGTGGAAGTTCATCTAATGTGCACAACTATCAAGGATGAACGCAGTGTTTTGTTTTCATAATGCGGTTGTAATAAGTGTATGTACTTGTTTATGTTGCAAGATGTATCAAATAAAATTATGTTTCCATTGTTGTTAAATCTTATTGAAATTTAACATCTTTTAGTTGAGTAAATTAATGAATTTCTCCCTCACGTTCATGTAATCAAAAATAGTATTGGATTAAAAAACGGAAATTTTTTACGTTCACTTTCGAATTCACTCTAAAATTATTAGAAAACTACACTGTCAGAGGAGGAAGATGTTTGATAAATAAGTGAATATATATAGCGCGGTTAAATATTACGTAATGTGTGTTGTCTTGTCGATCTGAAAAGCTGCCCGACTACGAAAAAGTTATTTTGTATCAGAAAGATTGTAACTTGTTTAAGTGTGACATGCAATATGAAGCACAAAAGATTTAAAACTATATATTATGATATTTTCTTTTTCACAACTAAGAAAATTTTAATAATGGTTAGTTGGATAATACTAACCTTGAACTCTCATATTTCCAGCAACTAATTTGGCACAAGCGAAAGGAGAAAAGATTAAACCTACATTAACTCATCCTCCACGACAAGAGCATGGATATATTTAAAGTAAATAAATCTTATGACGAATATTATAATAAAAGAATTTATGTGCATACTAGAGAGATTATATGTTACTTGATGAGGTTTTTTCACAATAATAAAGTAAATATGAAATTTTATTCCTTAAAGAAGTTAACAAACATGTTATGTGCATCTTTTTACATGTGAAAGCACTACTAGGGTGAGATATTATTTTTTCGTAAATTATTTTAGTAATAATAATATGTGCATAATGCTAGTATAAAATTTAGTTTAGTAGGTTCCAATTAAATAGGAAAGAAAATCAAAGTCACTTGATAGCCATTTCTATCATTCTTCAGTAAGGCTTTGGCTTGCACTTGCAAAGAGAGAGAGAGCCTCAGTGAAGAATATCTCCTGTCTTTCAACTACGCCTACATTAGCAAGGTAATCAACTAGAAATTTGATTCCCCATAGCAATGTGTTACTTGAAACCTCACTAAAGCCATCAGGTTGTTAATATGCAAAATTAAGCTCCTGATCTGCCACATAGGTAGAGTGCTGCTGCCATCTTAGAAAAGAACATATACCCAGAATTTCAGAAATACATAAGAACAATCAATATAAATTATACTTTTACAGTAAAAAAAAATAACTTACAGCTACATGGCTTCAGCATTGCCATCTTTTGGAAGAAACCTCTTCCAAACCAATGTTGTTTAAAGAGATCTTCCTCAACTCCTTCACCATCTTTCTTTTCTCTGTCGGGCAAAAAATTATAAATTGAGAAGCACATTCCCACTGTCAGAGCAACAAATTGCATAAATA